TATATATATGTGTGTGTGTGTGTGTGTGTATGTGTGTATGTGTGAATATATATATGTGTGTGTGTGTGTGTGTGAATGTATGTATGTATGTATGTATTTATACATATATACATACTTATATAAATGAATATATTCTTGCGTACGTAATTATATATATATGTGTAAGTGTGGGTGGGTGGGTGTGTGTGGGTGTGGGTGTGTGTGTATTTTTATGTGTGTGTGTTTGTGTGTGTGTATGTATTATGTATGTGTGTGTGTTTGTGTGTGTGTATGTATTATGTATGTGTGTGTGTTTGTGTGTGTGTGTATAGCTAAGCAAGTACAAATACGTACCTATGGATTATATATATATTATGTATGTGTGTGTGTGTTTGTGTGTGTGTATATAGCTAAGCAAGTACAAATACGTACCTATGAATTTTATATATATATGTGTGTGTGTGTGTGTGTGTGTGTGTGTCAATTTATCTGTGTACCTGTGTCTGTGCATACGCGTGTGTGTATCTCGTATATATTTGTATGTATTTCTATATATATATGCGTGTCGGCGCGAGAAATATGCTCATCGCTTTTACGGATTCGGTCAGATTCTAGTGGAAAAGCAAGTTTGATTGCGGGGTGATATTGTTTAGGGTACCAATAATATATCTGAACTTCAATACTCTTGTAGGGAATTCGAGACGGCGATTTTAAATGATGAAGTTGATGACCCCTTGGAAACTTGGCTGAGGTAAGTCGCTCGTCTTTGCTTTAGTCGACATATTCCATTGTCCGTTTCCTGTTGATTTCGTGCCGGTGGGGGATGCTCTTGCCGCGATGATCAAGTTCCGACTGCAAATATAATTTTTGGTACATCCGGTGAAGTTTTACTCACTTGGCCTTATCATCCCTTGGTCCAAATTAGCTACATTTCATGGTGTCGACAGGAATTCCCGGATGGCAACAACGGAGATACACTGAAGTTGTATGAGCGATGCGCTAGGAAGTTTGTGGTACGAATTGAATTGCCGATAGTCCAGTAGGTTCTACCTGCCATCGAAAATACTGAAGCTCTGGATTTTTCCTGATCGTATTGGCTGTGTGTGACAGTGTCTCCTTTTTTGGATATGTATTCCATTAAGACCAACCCTTCAAATGCGTGCTCATCGACAGCTTGTGTACTTTTATCGATCAAATATCTAGGGGACTTCGCTTAGAAACTCTTTCACATTGTGAGATTGCAACTGCTGATTCTGGTGTGCGGAAGATTTCTTTCCGCCACGACTACTAAATGCGCTAACAATTTTTGTATGCACAGGACTACGAACAATACCGCAACGATACGAGATACCTCAGAATCTGGCTCAATTTTGTAAGTTTGTGATACTTGTGTAAGGCGCATGACCAGCTGAGTGCTGAAAGTATAACACAAATTTGATCCAACTATATGTATGTATGTATATATATATATATATATATGTCTGTGTGTGTGTGTGTGTGTGTGTGTATATGTGTGTGTGTGTGTGTGTTGTATGTATGTATGTATGTATATATATATATATATATATATATATATATGGCTCTATCTTTGCTCGCAAGGGGTATGTGTACAGTTTCTCAAAAGCCAAGCGAATTTAAAGTTGGCTAATGTCTCATCAATTGCTCGAGACACCAAAAGTACATGTATCCGCGTCAGTATGTTCTAGTATTGTTATTGGAAGCAGAACTGTAAATACACTCGCTCAAGTTTTTTTTTCGATCTTCATTGACTGATGGAATCGCGACAGGCGGACGGCGCGACGGATCCGGTGGATATATTCAAGTTCTTGAAGAGCAGGGAAATCGGGGTGACCCTTGCTTTATTGTACGAAGCCTATTCTTTAGCTCTAGAGACGAAGGGGAGTAAGAAACAGGCCAGTCTTGTATATGAAGAGGGCATACAGAAGTAAGTGTGTGATGTTTTATGAAGTCGTCGAGGCCGGTATGAATCCCATACTTCGAGTGTGACTATTGGATTGCCTATGCCGCACCAGTGTCTTTATGAGTAAATTACGCACGCTCGTCGCAAACTTGTTAAGATGGCGTTTTATCGAGCCAGCATACTGTAGGATGTCCACCGTTCTTGCGGTTGCATAGCGGCTGTTACCAGTGCAATGGACTTGCGCTCTTGAAGACCAACTAGGAAGTGAAGTATCGTGTTGGCGGAATCAGTTTTTTATTTGTTTAACAATTTGTACTTTCGCTATATACCAGTAATGCACAGCCTCTGGAACGACTGAAGCGACGCCACCGAGAATATCAGATGCGATTGACAGAGGATCTCAAAGCCAATATGGAAGCGATGAGCTTCGGAGGTGAGTATGTACATGGTTATCAAGGGCGCTAAATATGCGTCTGCGAAACCTAATATCACGCTTATGTAGCGCATTGCAGCTATTAATTAGAAGAGCACCAGTACTTCACGACCGAATAGAGTAATTTAAAAGTGCCCGTCAACCATTACTCACACCTTGCCATTTGCGTTGAAACGCAATTGTTACCGTTAACTTTACTCAAGTATATCGCTTGTACTGGTAATTGCCATGTGTCATTTGATTTTTTTTTGTAGCCTTGGCGGATAGCAACGATGGTCGTAAGACACTTGGTCGCCTGGCTCGCACTCGCAACGGATTGCTGCCAGTACATCATTCGCGCGACGGCCACCAGCAGCAGAGCACACGACCTTCCACTAAGCGACGAGCAAGTAACACTGGAGGTGAGATACATATATAGGTATACGTTTATATGTTTATATATATATATATATATTTATATTTATTTATATACATTTATATATATACATATTTATATATATTTATATTATATATATATATATATATATATATGGCTGGAGTCCTGTGTCTGCGCTGTGTCTGTGTCTGTGTCTGTGTGTATGTATATAAAGCATATCAGTGCACGCGCGTCCTGATTGTGCCAACATATTTCACGCTTTAGGTATTTGTGCTAAAGGTGTTCCTTAGTGAAGAAAACTGTTATCTACTTGTTATTGGAGAGGATGGATATTTGGTTAGGATTACAGGGACTGTATTGAGCAATTTCTTCCCCTTAATATGTCGTAGAGGTGCTATCAGGCCTGTGCTTTATCGATGACAGTTGATCTGGCCATCATAGTTGACATTGATTTCTCACGAACGCCTTCCCGCTATATGATAATCTCGTCCGAAAAGAAATCACACCCGCTCGCCAGCTGGTCTTTGTGCTTCGTGTTTGCCGTGTACGATAGTGAAATGGCGTGCAGAGGCGATAATATATTTTGCAGACAATGCAGCGATGAAAGTGAAATTATTCGCCCTGTACTTCTGATAAAATCTGCCTTTGTCACGTAGTTGCTGCTCATTCGTACCTGATGTTTGGCTGGTCTAATGAAATATTATGCTTTGTATTATTTATAAGGACTATAAATATACCCTACTCTGCTCTGTATGTATGCGAGTTCTAATTGAATACCTTTTGATCGGTAGGTGTTTCGGTGTTTGTGGATGACGATGAAGAAAACCAACCGCCCAGTCAAGAAACAGCGGCGAAGGTTTGGAGCCACGTGCCGTCAGGTGCATCAGTGCGCAAAGAGAACACACTAACTGCTGGGCGGTGGACTGGAGGTGGAAGGGTATGTTTACATCAACTCTTCCCTTGTTAGTAGGCTTGCAGTGCCTTTTAGCTCTTTTTGCTCATAGCATGGACACAGCGCTAAACGGCAGTGCGTACTATGACATAATGAGAAAATAATCATGACCACTATAGGAGGTGGAAACGCACAGTGGTCATCAAACCCACAGCTTTCGGTATTTATCTGTGCACCAATTCATGCAGAGCGAGGACGCCCCGGTTTCTGTTGGATACCACCCCCTCGAATTCCCTGTCTTTCACGATGAGAGCAATGAAGACAGTGCGGATCGCCACTCTTTGCCCGCTCGGATGCTGGATCACACCGGTCCCAGGTATGCGGCAGTACACGGACTTTGCTTTTTAAGATAAGCTTTCACTACGGTGCATTCTATCTTTAGTGGTCGAGCATTGCCTATGGACCATTAGGTAAATACTTCGGTGTTTTCTCTCTTCGTTAGACAACCATTGCTTGTCGACCGCTGGGCATCCGTATTCATGACTGACTCTGACCGTACGTAGCTTTGATATCACATTAGTGTACGTGATATAGATACCAAGAAAATGCGGTAATTGTGATCTAGCAAGCTTTTAGAGTATATAAAACCCGATGGTCGTGAATGTTCAACAGCCTGCAGGAGTCGAGAAAGCGAGGAGAAGAGCTCATGCAAAACCCGTTGCAGAATTTTCGCAAGCCTGCGAAAAACTTTGATGGTTCAGGGGCATGGGACCAGCTTGACAGGGTACGTTGAGTTGAGCCCATACTAAATATCCACTTTTCAGTGCAGTTCTTCGTCATATTTCGAAATGCATCCGATCCTACCGCATGCTTTTGTATGGTTAATTCTGATGAGGTTTTTCTCAGTCGGAACTGTGCAAGTTAATAGCTAAATCACTACTTGCAACCTATGTACTATTCTGTGTTCGAGCACAGCTACCATTGGTTGATGCGAACGGCGGCGAGGTAAGTATCGAGGAAGTGCGTGCACAAAGCTCGGCATACAAGTACACGGACAGCGGTGCCAATCCCTCAGCGAACATTAAGGGTGGGGAACCGAATGTAGATATGGAAATTGACACGGATGTGACATCTCAAAAACGACCGCAAGATGACACTCATACTCAGCCCATCCCACGCAAAATACTTGACTTCACAACGCCAGCACTAAACCAGGTGATTTTTGTCGATATTACTAGTGTCAGATCAGCTGTGACTGAAAAAATGTCAGTGTATTCTGGCTCAACGAGTCTTTGCATTCCGACTTCGGTAGTTGTATACATGCTATATGAGTAGGGTCATATTTAAGTATGAAAACCTTACTGCAACGCAAGCGTGTATCTTCAAGTACGCAGATGGGATCATTGCGGATTTTGTCAAGGTTTGTGACCTTCTTTGCGCGAGCCCACTTCCATATTTGAATGTTCCAATTGCCTCTTCCCCTAATATACAATGTTCTCGATTCTCGGTACCGACACAGCTCAAAACACCGCTGTGTGTGTCAAATAGTATCAACGCCGGCAGAGGAATATTATTTTCATCGTCAGTATCCGATAGGCATGTCGATAGCTCAGCAGACCTTGCCCACAGTAGGCCCACGAATAGGGATGCAATAACGTCTCAGAAACGTCTAAAAATAGATGCTGATTCTCAAAGGCCTAGTATGTCAGCTGCCTCAAGCTCGGGACAGCCAGTGCCAAAACCTCGACCGACGGTTAAAGGTGTTTCAAGTTTGCAAACCCCCCCTAATGCCGATACAGATAAATCTAACCCTAGCATATCCGTACCAGCCTCTAAAGAAAACGTACCAAGCACCAGTGTAGATGCATCTCCTTCCAGCACAACCGTACACGCCACCAGTGAAACCGTACCCACCTCCACTGCAAACGTACTCGTCAAGCAATCTGGAGAACCTGTATCCAAGTCGGGTTCGCCCGCATCCGAACCCGACATACCATCACTGACCGTAGGAACGGTTCCAGCTATACCCAACGAACCCTCAACTACCGCACGACAGGACCATACAGCTAGCAATACAGAAGCGACCAGCAATGCGAGTCCCTTATTAAGCACAAGCGAGAGTAGTGCAGCGGTGACTGATAGCAGGCCTGTGAAGGAAGTGGGTGGTATCCACTCGGCACAATCTGCGAGCAGTATCTTTGTGGATGAGCCTTCCATGAGCGATGTGAACGAGGTGGATACGAAGAGTGTTTCCACTCGCGAGTCCGGTCCGAACGCTTTGGGCTTTGACATGTTCATGGATGATACTGAGAAGCTGGATGACGTTGTTGCGGGGGCTGCACACTCTGTAGAGGCCGATGCAAGGTCTAGCCCCACACCTGCACTCGCACCGTCAGGTATAAACACTTCTTCGAACGCGCACGGCAAGATATCCGATGATCTTTATAAGAAGGAAGCAGCACCACTGGTAGTTGTCACGAGCCTTACGAACGGTAACTCTCTCCCCGGCGGTGACCATCAAGAAACACAGCGTGATGAGTCAGTGCACACAGCGAGCGCATCACATCCACTAACGGGGACAAGTAACGAAAACGCATCTGCTGGTGATGAAGAGCTGAAGGGTGAGCAAGGTGTGGTTATTAAGCGAGAGGTCAACGCTGCTAATGTGTATGAGGCTACGAGAGAGGGTGGCGGTGATAGCCCACATGTGGGGTCTGTGGATGCGGGTGGTGTCGGTGATTTCCGCGTGCCGTTTGAGTCTGGACATGTCGACGGTGACCAGGAGCACCGTGAAAATGCCCGGCCCAATTTGGATTCCTATCGCATAGGCGACAGTGACGAAGAGACTAACGACGTTGCGAACAAGGTGGGTGGCTGTCTGAGTCGTATAAGCGCACCACTGACTACAAATTACACATTCGTGAAAGGCTTTATTGCTTGGGATCGATTCGATAGGATTATGTTGTGTGTATATACTGAAGTTGCCAATGCAGCTGAAGTACACAATTGTGACGACTTGATTGTCTGCATATCTCGTCCGCACCTTTTATGCTGTGCGCTGTAGTTGCCTAAGCTGTCTGAACGCTCTTAAGGCCACAGTCCACATACAACTGTGAAACTAGCTAATTTCTGAACCACATCTGTAAATACAAGTTTGTTGATTCCAGTTAAGATTTTGACTCTACTACCCAGTCTTCTGTATGCTCTCCCTCCTCTTTGTTTACCAAGTAATCCATCTATGTATATGTGTTGATGTAGTTACAAAATCGTTGTTGATTCGCTTAATCTATCTTGATTGATATATCTACGTTAACTCTGTTGAGCTCTTTTTGTTACTTTGAATAGGAGAAGCACCCGCCCATCTCGCCCACTATCACTACCAAACTGGCCACTGCGGATCTTTTCGACATTTTCCGTTCGCGACCGCTACCCGGGGACGAAGATGGGGACACCCTGCACTCAATGGTAAATGATATGCGCTTCGTTTGTTGAGCCTGTCCAGTTCAGTGCATGTGCGCAGCACGATGGTGCAATTGTATGTGTAGAGTTTTTATAATGTAGGCGTGCTATGTAATTTTTCCTTTCATCAAATATTTAGATCCTCATAGTGATGAATGATTCTACACAGATCTGCTCATCCGCACACCAACACCACACACACAGACCAATTGTAAGCTCGAGCACTATTGGTATTCAATACGCTATATATACTTAAGACTTACTCGTCACTCATCTACACACCATCTGCTTATTGGCCGGTCCCAGATGTTGCATTGTCTGCCTACCAAAGACAGCAAGCCTAGTGTACTCACAAATCTAGCAGGCCAGATGAATAGAAAATCGGTTCTGCTCCCTGAGCCGTTCCTAGATTATTCGGTTGCTCAAGTGCTCAAACGTTTTTCTCACTCACCCCTTCTTGCGTTGTGTATCATCTACTCACTCAACCTCACTTATATGATGCGATTGCTTACATACATATCATCTGCTCACCCTGCCTTTCCTAGATTGTACAATTGCTTACATATATATCATGTACTCATTCTATTTTCCTCGGCGCTGCAAACGCTTACATCCATACCAAACTCGCTCAGCCTTTCCTAGGTGGTGCTGATCGCCCGGTTTCCGCCAGCGGAGTGTCTCCGACCCACAATCGCGACTTCAACCACCCCATGTTTGGCGCAGACAAGACCGCCTCATGCAGCACCTCCACAGCCGAACCATTCCAGGTAGGTAAAGTGAGCAGGCTTATCCACAGGTGCCGAGGTGTCAAGCAGTGTCGTCCCCCCATGGAGCGAGATATTTCTATATAACTGGCTGAGATAGCTAGTTTTCGTTGGCTTCTGATTGTACAGACATATATGATTGGAGCTAATCCGTTGTCTTATCACAAATTATATGTAGTCCGGAACTGTGCTTTCAATCAGCGCTGTTCATGCTTGCAATGAAATCGCTTGCGTACATTGGGGAGTCTCGGGCGGAATTTCGAATAGTATCTATTACAGGCTCATTTTAGACTCGGTCTATCAGGAGCCGGTGCACTTCCGCAGTACGATAGTTACTACTTCTATAGACATCTCTAAAGCCTTGAATCAAGTGTACTTTCGTATTTCGCTGGTGAATCCGCATACTAGTTGGTACAGCTTTGCCAGTTACAACAAAATATTTGCATTGTATGTGTACCTTTGTTTGTATCAGTAGTTTGATCCGATCTCTATCCCCCTAAATTCTACAGATATTCCAGGACCCCACCATGACGGGCACTATCCTACCACTCCCACCTCCAGCGAAAACTGCATACGATTCGCAGGAGAGTGAAGAATTGTCCAACGCAGTGCTAGCAGAGAGTAAGTCAATCTTCCAGGACCCAGAAAACAACGAGAATGACCCCAACGTATTCGATGGTGCCAGGTATGTGCATTGAGTATTTAACCGTTCTTATCGCCTTCCCTGTGGTATGAAGGTGGCTACATACAATGCTTTTCGTCACTTCCAGTGGTGGGATCGCACATGATGCTGTTGTTGATCGGTGCTTGGCCTGTCGTACGTCTGTTTTTGGTGGGGATTCTGCGTGTGGAAGGAATGTGCATATGGTGGAGATACCGCGTTCTGCTTTTTAGAAATGTACTCAAGCATCTATCGTGAGTGCTTGGTAGCTGTCTCGAAATGCCTACCAAATCTGAGAAACTTCTATCCTATTCACTACCCAGGAAAAACCCAACAGACCGGGTGTCTCACTTAGTAATGCGGACCGAAGGCGAACGCAAACCAATCACTCCGCTTGAGGTAAGTGAAAAGCGTGCATTGACTCAGCAGCCTAACAATATTTTTGCAACTGCGATGTCATCTGTTTCAACGCAATGGTATTGACCCCCTACGGCAAGGCTTCTTTCAACCACGCTGCTTCTGTAGAGAGAAATCATGCGTGCAAAGGATATTATTCATACTTGTCAATCTAGTTGGTCGTCTTCTCAGCACGTCTATACGTCAACAGTTTCGCATAGGTGAACTTCAAGAGCGATGTCGCTTACGATTTCACATATGAAGTCCGTGTGTTGTGTGAGGTTGTATCTAGGCTTCCAGCCAACCTACACTTGTTTATAAATCGACACGTGACAAGCGACAACGTGTGAGCCCAGCCCTACGTTATTTATTATAATTATTTGAGAGAATATTCATCTATAGGTCCTTCTTCATTTTCCGCTAAACTTTCGTTGTGTCTTCCTCAGGTTGTACCTGACGAAGTACAAGATATCGATGAGGATCAGAAAGGACAGGGGGACATGCTAGGCCAGTCAGAGGGTCGTGTGACTAACGCGGATGTACTGCGAGAAGGTGGTATGATGCCTCTGGACTCCAGCTTCAGCCGATCGCCTGGGATTAAATCCACAAGCGGCGACGTATTGGCAGACGGGTAGGTGATGTCCTAAATGTTAATTCTTTGAAATTATGCTCTCAAGAGTCTGGACGTACTCTATTTATGAAGTGACTGGGATTTCGCATATGACTCCGCTGCTATGTGGCTTCTCAGTGTGTAATGCGGTACATGAAGTCGCAATGGCTTATTCGGAAGGATGGTGTGGGTGTCTAATTGATGAAACTCATGGATGTGACCTTTCTGCACGCCGTTGACAGAAATATCATCAGATCCACAGCCAACGCTGCGAACGAGTCGGAATTTGAAATCTTCACGGAGAATGCTGAGCCACTTCTCGGTACGGTATATATTAGACTGTTGTTGGTGCCGGGCTGCCTTCCAGTCAAGTGTTGTAAAAAAAATCTTACCTTAGCCACGTAAACACAAATTTTGTGATCAATAATGTCTCAAGCTCTTCGTTCTTCTATGATGATACATTACTGCATGCACACATTTAATAACATTTCAAAAATCGATACGTGGCCTCTTCCAGTAGTGGCGACTGAAGAAGGCGATGATGACGACTTCGTTGTTTTTGAAGACCACACGGCCACGGCACCTGACGCATCTAGATCACTCGCCGCTATTGGACATCCCCTTCAGAAAGCCGATAGCGCAGATTCTGCAGTAGATTCCGATGAGGATGTATCCAGGTATCATATATACTTATATGTTTATTTATTTATATATTTATTATTTATATATTATAATATATATATATATATATATATATATATATATATATATTTTATACTCATACATATATACATATATGTATATATGTATGTATATATATAGATAGATAGATAGATATATATATATATATATATATAGATTTAAATGTTGGTATTTGTATTTGTAATTATATTTATGTATATGTATATGGACGTATATATGTATAGATTTATGCTGCTTATGTGTGCCGTCATAGTTATATGAAGTTGTGTTTATGTGGAGTCTGCGATACCTTTTCCCATGTCGCCCTCTAGCTTTGTATTTTGTGTTAATCGCTAGCTCCCTCTCTGAGTAGCACTCTGGCTGCTCTGGCTGAGTTACCCACTAGTTGATCGTGTAGCATTAGTCTGCGTTTAGCCTAGTGATGGGAAGATCTTGATTGTCATCAGCACGGCGAATCAGATTACATAGGCATCAATTTGTGTTGGCTGACGAAAGTAGCACTTAACAATAATGAGTTTGAGCTGTCTTATCGAATTTGTCAAAAGTTCGGCTAAGTAGTAGAAGGAAAAACTTATCTACACAATCTGTCAAATAGCAGGTGCAATTCATGATTAATCAACCTCTGCACCTTCGTATCTGAACTCGCCTATCGCAGAAGCAGTGAAGTGGCCCTCAACATAAGTGCTGGTGATAACGCGTTGGCACCGCACATGTCCAGTGTGTTAAGAAGCAAACGAGGATCGAATCTAAGTCTCATTCTCGAGACCAGTCGGGACGGAGACAATGCTATGGAAATGCACACTCCTGCGCCTGTCCAGGAAAGCGGTATGTGATTTAATCTCAAATTCTCAATTATGACACGTCTTTTTAAAAAAGAAGGCGTATAATCTCAATGCCTCACTGTGCGTATACCTACGTTTCTCTCGAACAGAGTGTGATGCCACTTGCATGCTATTAATATTGAAAAACATGGTTTTAAAATGAACCAGGCTTTAAAAATGGGCTGAAGGGTTACAGATTGTGCTGTAAATAGCATATACCGCTCAGACTCAGTAATCCAATGAAATTGGTTGGGCACTGCAAAGGCACAATTTGATCATTTCTAGTGCTAGTTGATTTAGACTTACAAAGGCGACTTGCTGTACAAACGGTCAAACTGTTCCAGCCATCACAGCAGCGGCAGAATCAACTTCATTGGTAGATGAGCCCCTTGCGAAGACGGAGGTAACCCTGCTCAGCATCGATGCGGACAGTGATATACTGCGCAATCCGGTCTCGGATGAAAGTCTGCTTTTGTAAGTGCAGTACTAGATACGATTGTGTAGTGGTATTTGCGCAGACTGAGAGTGTACTTGCTTGTCAGTATACGGTGGCTGTGCTCAGCATCGATGTAGACAACGAATACTGTACAGTCCCGTCTCGAAGGAACGTCTGCAATTGTTAGTGTAATGCTGGATGCGATTGTGTAGTCGTGTTTGAACAAAATTCGAGTGCAGGCTTGCCCGTAGAAAACAATCCTGCTAAGCTAGCTACAGATGTAGATATTAAATTCTCGCTAACCCGTTGTCGAAAGAGGTCGGTTGATGCAACTGTAGTGCGGGACATGTGTGTTTGGCAGGCGTCTAATGGGAGCAGTTCTCACTGTTATACTTATCAAAGCAAGAGCATGTAGGGATTAGTAGGTAGTGCTATGTGATACAGACGAGCAGCGTATGTCTAGACGAGCAGCGCATCTGCCTGTCGCGTATTTAGATTACTCGCATATGCTACATCGAAACGCATGTGGTTATCACCTCAGTAAGCTGCGTGTATCAGCCGAAAGTGATACAATTTTCAACTCAACTTTCTTCGCAGTATGAATGAACACGTGCTAGGACATGTCCAAGGGTTCGTTGGATACCACCAATCCTCCGAGTCCTTGGCGATACCCTTCGACTTCCAGGTGCCTGGCTCCTTCACATTGGGTATGTTTTTGTTGTCTCGTCACTCTGTGTACATGAAATTGTAGCAATGACATCGTATGCAAGTTATTTCGCAACGTGGGTATGAACTGAGTGAGCATACCCTGAGCCTTGTTAGTTTACTTTTTACGCTCTCGACCTATTATATACTACTGTGAACTTTAACCAGAGCTTCTGCATCGACAAGTCCCTTACGAGGTACAAGCTTCTGAATTCTCTCGCATATAGTGTATTACGCAAAAGTGGAAGCATGAGGCGTATACTGCATAGCGCTACATTACGCTCACATAACCTTTGTCCGGCGTACACGCATACTACGCCCACAGCCAACGGGGACACAGTCTTCATTCAAACGGTGCTAAAACCGGGTCGAGAAAAGGCCGACCCTTCCATGTTTCTACTGGTCACGCCAGACGATGAAGACGCGCCCGATATCACTGCAATGCTGGACGACTGTTCGCAAAGCTGTGGGCTCTCGGTAATTGTTCGAACGCAATCTCACAGAGATTGAGTGCGATTGAAGATATATTCAGATATGATTGGGCAATTTTATTTCTGTGTTTAAAAATGTCACACCGCACGACGAAATAGCATCCGATACTACGGTTAAGCAGGGCACTGCTCACAAAAGGCGACTCTCTGTCATCTTTCGAGCGCATTGAGATTCTCTCTACATAATTTTGTGTGTAATCAACTAATAATACGTGTACTGAGATATAAGCACTACCTGCATCATGTACGTTACACTCTCCTGAATCGCACGAGTTTATTTTTTGTTGTCAATGTATCCTCGACTGTTGTAGTACATGAAAATACTGGTACAGATGAAAAGAAGACTTGCGAGTTGTTTAAATATATTCGCCGCTCCAAAAACTTTTCCAATATAATTTCGAATATACTAATTTGTATATTTATATAGCGCAAAAACACGGTTTATTCGTGGATGTACGTTGTATCCTGAGTTGTTGTTCGGGCATGTATCTCAATACTAAAATCGTGGGCTGGGCTATCTCAGTAGCGAATGCCTACTTACTTCTGTTTTCAACGAGATTATTGTCCCACGGTGCCAAGAGCTCGGTCTTGCTATTTTAGACTACACTATTGGCATTTGCATACATTTACCGCTTAAAGGCTTGGCACGAGTATCCCTTGTAGTCGTCCTTTTCGCGATATTTACTGGATTTTTGCTGCTCTACCAACTAACGATACACCACCCTCCGTACAACTTATCCCCATCGCAGGTGTCGCCATCACCGTCAACATGGGAATTCTATCTATCACGGACATTTTATTCCAGATTTGAAACGTCTCCACAACAGGTGAGGGCGACGGATCCCTTCCGAACATTTGCTTTCATTTCGTGTACCACTTTGATTCGCCCATGGGCATGTATTCAAGTATTTGCGAATGTTATGATGTATTCTGCATGCATTATGGCTCAACGCAATCACGGAGACGGTAGTCCAATATCCGAATTTAGAGTTTAAAGTCTGCTGCATACTTGAAGTTTCTAATAGCGGAGTATGTATCATATTTTGCTTCAATTTGCAGAGTGGATACAAGGCGATCCCTTGGATGACAACCTATCACGTATATCGCAACGCGCATATGTACACGACCGCCCACTCTGATTACTGTACAATCCAGGTAAGTCTACTGGCGGTATTTGCTTTCCATTGCGATGCAGTAAGAGATTTCAATCTCACCTAGTATTATTTTGTGGGTTTAGATACCAGTCTATTCACTGTTGGTATTACACGTGGATACGTACTAGTTCGCATTCTGCAATATACTCACCGTTTGATACGAGACTAGTTCACAGTTCTTGAGCAGCACGCTACATCATCTCTGAGGTGGACAACACATAACTTAGTGCATCGGTCTAAACTCCCATTCACTCACTTCTAGGACCTTATCAACTCCACTCACTCCACCGGTGAGCCCTTGGAAGAAGCCATGGTTCTCTTCTACACGATCGAGCTTCTCAAAGCCGTACAAATCTTGCATTCCAACCAAATTGTCATCAATGGATTCTGCTCGGATAAAATACTTCTCCGCCACGGAAACATGTGAGTGGTGTTCAACCACTTTCACTCCTTTCTGTATAGCTGGAAGTGGCCCTCATTCCTTCCTGTGTACACCTGTATGCTATCCTTGAGTCTTACAGCGGGCGTTAAACGTACATTCTGCTGAGTTGCATACTGGCGAATAATAAGTACAAGCCTGCCAGCTCACTCGGGCTTTGGAATTTTACATGGAAGCATTGTAAGATGATTTTTCAACTTACATACGTACCCCCACTCGAAAGGATATCAATGGTGCGGTGTTCTTTATAGTTGTGATGTTTATATCCTTGTTATACGCCCAATCAATAGCTGAATCGCCACCAATACCATCTTACATGCACATCAGGATGTCACTTAGCGATGTTTGGGATGCCGATGGTTCGGGAGGATGGGAAGACCATGGGCTTTTTCTGGAGGACCTCAGCAAAGGTATCGATATGAATCTTTTCTCCAACGGCACAAAATTCACCGGGCCGATGCCACGCTGGGGATCAATCCCCAACCGAGAGGAGTGGTCGTACGAGGTGTGTAATCAAGCTTTCTGTAATCATGCGTGCATGTCAGCGTGTTTGAGTGAGAATCCAGTCACCAGTGTTAGCTGGACTGAGTACTTGCGTGCCCAAGCTTCCGAAATTTTCTCACCCGAGCTGATGTCTTCATAGAATTCAACCCTAGAGCGGGTGAATGTGTGGTGTGTGCACGGAATACGCACGGACCAGTTGAGCGCCTAGTTTGAGAGATCGCATGAAATTTTTGAATCCCCTGGATTCTGAGCGTGCGGTTACCTAGTACACACGCGAAGGTACAAGCAGAATAAGGAATTATAATCCCTTCGTCGGCAGACATCGTGTATATAGATCTATTGGCCTATTTAGACATCCCGTCGGAATTTTTTAGTCTATATTTCACTTTCTAAGATACTATTCATCGTACTTTCTCAGGTCGACATGTTCGATGTGGCCAATACCATTCACAAACTGATGCATGGGTCCGGCCTGGCCCTGAAGAATGTAGGCAAGCAATGGATGCCGTCTACAGTTGTTCCGAGGTATATAAACCTTAAAGCCCCTTTTTTATTTATTTATTTTTTCAATCGTTGTTGCCGCCGCAAACCGATGTATACTGCTAAACCCTTCACACGTGGCAGTATGCTCACTTTACATCGTTCATACTTTTTATTAGTTAAATGAATTGTAAACACTTATTTGTGGAAACGTGTGCCCTCTCACAAAATTAGTGTGCGCGCACAACATGTATTCTATACATGTATCGGGTGAATCGTGACCACTTACTCGGAAAAGGACACAACCTCCCTTTATAGTACATGGCGCGTTGAACTTTGGAATAGTGTGCTTCGAGATCTCATCAATTTCGAGGATGGTGCTGGGAAATCAAGTGCTCAAGCGGTGCAATGCTTACGGATTGATTTGGAGTCTGTCTTACAGAGCGATGAAGATCTGAGGTACGTTATAAAGACACACCTTCCCTCGTGTCAATTAATCTTAGTGCGCGTAGTCCAAATACACTTTGATATCCGAAACAATCCGCTATTATTCCGAAGATCGTATGCCACTCTTTACTGTCACTGATAAGATCTTCAGCACCTGCATTGGAGTATATTATGGAAACGTCACTGTGATTTCTCATTTTCTTTGTCTATAACGTAGTATCAATATATGTATGCCTAAAAGTATATGCATAAAAACCGTTATCCGTACTAAATCAAATAGTGATCGAGCCACTCGGAAACTTGTAGCACGCATTCTTCACCACTTTATATCCCAGTTTGATTTAGTTGCACACACGCATACAACATACCAAAATCTACTTCGCCTTCCTAATGTCCTTCAATTTTCTACAACTACAGTCGGCGCATCAAGAAACTATTACTAAGGCAATCGATAACCCTGTACAACAACAAGTAAGATATTGCCCTCAGTCGATCTCAACCCATTGTCCCAGAGATCTGGAAAATAACGCATCAATGGATGAACTAAATACATGTACCAGTGTGATGTACGTATAACCCCCGACTTGAAGTAAAAGAATGTACTAAAACAACAATTTAGAAATATAATTTAGGGTAAACACACCCCAACTATGCTATTAAACAACGACTCGCAATTTATTGACCCTTGTGTACGCATATTGCGAAAGTGCCGAGACTATCATACTGATAAATTCGATTGGAATTTATACTATGCCGATACATTGTGCGATCAGTGTTAAACTAAGGATTCAATTACTCTTAATGTCTTCGGCGTACAATTAAATCAGCAGCAATGGGTGTTATTTGGCTGGGCAAAGACAAGTTCTTTGAAGAATACCATCGCGCCTCTATCGGTCGTCATGCATATTTGTGTATATTATCGTTGTATAAACATATGCGTAGGTAAACTATCCTGTGTTTATACCCCGTTTATTCTAACTACATTAGCTGACTGATAAATAAACATTTTCGACTCAAACCCGAAACCTATCCGCACTAGTTTGATAGTAAACGTAAACATAGTGTACCATTTGGCTTGAGATCCTGAAGCCGGACAGTCGTCCACTGTGAAACCTCCTAGTAGATAATTTATATCTCGAATGAACGAAATCCGACAAACACAAGTGAAGCCTCTAAGAATGTTTTTACCTTGTATAGTGAGCTATCTATAATACGCTTCAAAATGTCCCGCAATATCAAGCCCCAAACCACAATACAGTTCCGAAATATCATAGGGTAAGAATGTCACAACCCCATATGGCTGCCCTAAGATTCGTGATATTTATTGTATTCCACACTTGTATATGTATCTACATACGAATTTATGATTATAATACGCATATTAATTACTGCAGACGAGTTTACAATTGTAAGTGAAGTATACATGCACACAAAAGTTCATATATATATATATATATATATATATATATATATATATATATTGTGTGTGTGTGTGTGTGTGTGTGTGTGTGTGTGTGTATATATATATATATATATATATATATATATATATATATATATATATATATATATATATATATATATATATATATATATA